CTCCGTTCTTTCTCTTTCTCTTTTTCCAATTTCTTAAGTGCTTTCCCGGAAAGCGGTTCTTCTTTGGTATTATCACCCATCGCAAATATTTGACGGTTATATACTGTGCCACATTTTTTTTTTTTTTTTTACGTTTTCTGGTAGTAAGAATTACACAATCAGTCAACAATGAATGTTAAACGTCACATACGACACATTGGTTTTTCACGCACATGTACGGCCTGACAAATCGAGATTTAAATCGAGATTTCTATCCAGATTTTAGGGCTTAAAAAATCTTATGATATTCGTAAAAAAAACGAGGATACTTGGTTGGCGACGCCCTTCGAAAAATGATCACGTGTTTAAGATGAGATTCATAAACAGGAAAAATGTCCCCACACCATCCAACAGGAAAAGTATACACAAGCCTCACCAAAGAAACGACAGGGTAAGAAAATTTTTCAAACAAGAAGTATCCATAAAAATCAATAAGGCGCCAATATAACTTCAACCAGGAATTTCTTGTTTAATCGAAGTCAGTCATGTGGTAAAAAATGTATCTCGAGAGGAGAATAATTTAAGATACACACGAGGGTAGTTTAAGATGATATAATTCGATCAAATATTAATAATTACTATTAGATTTTTGTTAATCAATTAATCAATGAAAAATAGTTGTTTACTCATGAATACATAAATGCAAAGAAATCAATTCTAATTAAGTTTTCATGATTATGATAGTTCTTGCAAAGCTGTGCCCTCAACTCAATAGTATTCTGCTTGCGAAATCATTATATACATGAGTGGAAAGAACGAACGTTTTTCTGAGAATGTCCACACGTCGTATTAATATAATGATAATCCATCAATCAATAATTACCATTTCCATTCGTCTATAAAATCTATTAAATGTCTCGACCTTGAATTCTCTCCTGATGTTCTCCTTGATCTCCTTCTTCGCCTCTCAAATTACTCGTAGAATCGCCACCTGTGTTACCAGTAAATCGAACATCTTCAAATCGTCCTGATGGATCGGTGGATCTACTAAAATCATAAAGTTGTTGTTGACCACTGTCCGAGGCGACTGATGAGGTTTCGGTGAGATATGTGTCGTCATACTGTGAACCAGCTAGTAGTCCCACGTCGTCATCATATTCTATGTAAGACGGGTGAACAGCCCCGGTTGCTTGTTGTTGACGCTGTCGTTCGTTTCGTTTCAGTCTACGCAGCCTATTCCGTTCCCAATCCTCCCATCGTTTGAGTGGAACCTTGGAAGGATCAAATGATCCTTCTTTCTTTCCATGATCATCTCCTTTGGTTTCACCTTCAACTTTTCTGGATTCAGTAATAATATCAACAACATCATTATTATAAATCAAATGATCACCAAAATAGACACAGGATGGTAAGATGTCAAACAAACCTGGTCTCTCCCCACGTGAAATCGTCAAAATGCCAATACGCATAAGTTGGTAAAATAAAATTCCAGACAGGTAAGGCCAATAAATAAATCATCATCCACGTAATATATACTAATTTACGCGTGGTCAGCAAGATCAACACAGCTGGTAAACCAAGTACTGCAGCCAACATAAGTAGTGGGATAGCCTCTGAGAACCCGTGGGGTGGTTTTAGGATGGACGAAATAATCAACCAGAAGGTCAAAACTATAGCAACCGGTAAAACAACGGTACCCTGTAATTCCATGAAAATGACAAACTGCATGGAAATACAAAAGATCCCGCACAGATTTCGAACAAGAACCAACTCCATTAAATTGTGAATCGTTGAATTAATCCATCGACGACGTTGAGAAAGTAACACTCGGAACTCATCGGGAACGATTGTTTTGCATACTGCTTGTGGACAGAAAGTCATCTTTCGGTATGGGAAGTTACGGAGCATGAGAGTGGTCAGGAAACGATCTTCACCGAGAAGCAATAAATTTTTCTGATGCAACGTATTGACTATATTCTGAGAATATTCCTGAACTATCTCTGGTTTTGTGATTATTGGCACCCAATCGTCATCTCCCTTACGGGCCTTCAGTCGGTACATACAAAAACATCCGGGTAAACACGTAACACCTCCAAACACCGATTCAAATCCTTTACCCAAATGATGAGAGATGTAATATTCGAAAACTTGAATGGCCGTTACCCAAGAGTCCCGTTTGTTTGCAATCTTTGTTTCACCACACAAACCCATAATCAGCTGATCATTACACATGCAATTTACCAAAAGTCTGAGTGAGTCGGGATAAACTTTGGTATCTGCATCCACCTTTTTTGACAATCAGAAAGTAGAAATGAATGTTAGAACCCGCAATCATCCGATTTGAAGAGAATTGTGTTTAAACAACGAACCATCAACACAAGTTCAAAGTAATCCGGTGTGACACCCATCAAATGATGGGTTTTCTGGAACAAATCATAATCTAGTTGAGTCATACGATCGTTGTACGTAACGCGGTAAAAGAAATTCATGAGGATCAATTGCGAGTCTCGTTTTCCTCTGTTTCCTGGTTTCGGTTTGTCTTCTTCACTGGGGTTTCCACATTTGACGACGATTATTGTTGGCACGCGGTGACCTTCATGACCTAAATATTACGAAACCAAAAAAAGAATAACTTTGATTACGAACAATTTACCAACTTCCAATAAAGACAGCAGTTAGTGTTGAACTCACAGAAATGTCCTGCATAAACTTTGGCTCTGTTATGTTGTTTGATTCCTGGAGCAACAGCGATGTAGCTTTGGGGATTGGGATCTTTAAATTTATCATCAATTTCTATGAGATCGATGCAAATGTCCGGTGTGCTTTTTTCATTACCGCTACCAGTTATAATGCCGTCGCATATCAAAAACAACAGTTTACGATCATCCGGATAATCGGTTGCGGCCATAGATTCACAAGTGGTTCGTAAACCTTCTTCACCCTCGGAATAACAGGTCACAAGCAAAACGGTATATAAATCATTACCAATTTGATCAAAGTTAATCTTGTTCACCACGGTCCCCGAGTCATTACGATGAACCCAAGGTGCGTAGCGACTCTTACGAGAACCAACAACCATTTGAGGATATTGTGATTCCTTCTTGACTTTTTTAGGAGTATGGGAAAGACGATGAGAGATAAACCAACTGAAGAGACAAGCCATCAAGAAGCGGACCAATATGATGCCCAATATAACCACCAACATAATGTAATTAAATAGGTCGGAAGTAAAACAACCAATTGTCTGTTTATCAATGTGACCCGCGTAATATTTCTGTGTAAGACACTTCATAGCAGCTATCCTATCATCGCTCCCGGAAAATAGACGAGTGGCATCCTTTCCGTCGTTTGCATAAGTTTTGGATAATACACGGCGAATGATCTTATCGACAACGTCACCCGCAACAGGACTCGGATGATCATTCATATACGGACCCAGATTAAGCACAACACCGTCGACAACCATATAATTTGTCAGATTGTCAAGCTGATTCCAATCAAAACCTACTTGTTTGGTGGTATTTATCAAATTTAACGAGTCCAGGGTTGTTCGCGAAAGTCGGCCCAGGGGACATTGTGTATCGTTGCTACATAAAGGTTGTGTAACAGCTGCGTATTTCTGTATTGAACTGACCCTACAACTAGATATGCTGGAGCTGTCTCTCTGAAAATAATTAGTAATATCTTGACCATTTTGTTGTGCCGCTAGCTGAAATAAATCTAATGTAGAGGGTACCAAAGCTTTTGTAATGTCAAATTGCCATCCCAGTACTCCAAGATGTCCTTTATGACAAAGAATAAAATTGTTTATTTGAAAATAATTTGAAATTAAAAGATACCGATAAAATTAATATATCTACCAGGTGCTTTTCCAAAGCTCAAAAACAGATCAGAATTACTTGCTGCCGAAGGAGGACACAACGCCGGCCGAAAACCAACTGTCAAAAAGGCAACGATAGCACCCATTATGAGCGCGATGATGCAGAGCGCAACCTTTTCTCGCCAGGCTTGCCGTGATTGCTTGTCGTGAAGGCCACCAAATTTTACCAATAAAGCCTTTGGAGCCCAGAAGGTAACAAAGCGAGAAAATAGCACCCATGGATCAAGTGGTTGTCTCTCTTTCTTTCCAGTTAAAAGAGGTGCAGCAGGTTGAAAACGTTCGGGTCTGTTTAAGGTTCTCCCACGCCGGAGCGTATTTCCTCTAATGGGAGGCGCGTCCATATCGCTTTGCTTTTCTTGCAGGCAGAGATCGCTTCGGGTCTAAATAAGGAGTCCGGGAGTTCAAGAGATAACAAATTTTGCAAAGGGCAGGATTGTGATTGATGACCCATCCCTGTTTCATATAAATGAATTAAATTTAAAGACAACGCCACAAAAAAATTCGGGGTTGACGATTTTAATTGTATATTTGACGATCGATTAAGCGTAAACCGGAATGATCGATAAAATTGAGCAGCAAAAATGTATTTTTGATCGGGCACCATAATCAGATTAGGTACCTGTAATTTATACTGCATTTATTCGTATTAAACGAGTTACTCCCATTTTAGAATAAAAATATTCATAGGGTGGATTTTTTAAGAGATCCCTTTTTTACGATCGTCAACCGTTAACCGAGTGGCGCAATTATTAAAATAAAGTTAACAGACCTGAATGCATGAATGAAGAATGACCTATTTTTTTAAGGACCAGAGTTTTCTGACTTGGAATCACAGCCTCAAGTTACGTTATGGCGAAATTTGTAATACACAACGCTCTGGAACAAAAAAAAATCAAATCAGAATGTTAAATTGTATCAAATTTTCTCTCTCGAACGAAAATAACGCTTTTCCTATATATAACATTTGGTGATAATACCAAAGAAGAACCGCTTTCCGGGAAAGCACTTAAGAAATTGGAAAAAGAGAAAGAGAAAGAACGGAG